GACAGCAATCAGAAATCCAGAAGATTAACAATAAAATTTCAGAATTAGACAACTCAATAGAAAGTCATAGGAGCAAAATTGAGGCAATGGAAGTCAGAATTAGTGAAACTGAAGATAAAGCACTTGACAACAACTTATTTGAGGAAAAGTCAGATAAAAGGATTAAAAAAAATGAAGAAACCCTAAGAATTATGTGGAACTCTATCAAGAGGAATAACCTACGAGTGATTGGAGTACCAGAACAAGGCGGGATAACAGAAAATACAGAGAGAATTGTTGAAGATTTGTTGGCAGAAAACTTCCCAGTATCGTGAAAGATGAGAAGATATCCATCCAAGATGCTCATCAAACCCCATACAAGGTAGATCCCAAAAGAAAGTCACCAAGACACATTATAATCAAACTTGCCAATACCAAAGATAAAGAGAGAATTTTAAGAGTGGCTAGGGATAAACAAAAAGTCATCTACAAGGGACAGTCAATAAGAATAAGCTCAGACTACTTCGCAGAAACCATGCAGGCAAGAAGGCAATGGGATGACGTATCTAAAGCCTTGAAGGAAAAAAACTGCCAGCCAAGAATTATATATGCAGCAAAATTGTCTCTCAGATATGATGGCGAAATTAGGGCATTTCCAGATAAACAGAAGTTTAGGGAATTTGCACAAACCAAACCAAAATCACAAGAAATACTAAACAGAGTCCTCTGGTTAGAAAATCAGTAACATCAGATAACAACCCAAGACTAGAACACAGGACAGAGCAACCAGATCTCAACCCAGATAGGGAAGTCACAAAAGTAAATCAAAGCTAAAACACTGAAAACAAGGAAACAGATGTCAATATGTAAAAGATGACAACATTAAAACAAAAAAGAGGGACTTAAAAAATGTAGACATAGATTTTTCATATGGAAAGGATGTCAAGGCAATATGAAGAAATAAAAGACTGGTATAAACTTAGAAAAATAGGGTAAATAGCAAGGTAACCACAAAGGAAACTAACAATCCTAGAAATCAAAATAAAAAACTAGAAAAATATAAAGACTCAGCAAACACAGAATCAACAACAATGAAAAAGATGAAAATACATAAAGAAAACAACTCAGCACAGAAAATTAAGTGGAACAAAGAAACTGTGAATAACGCACAAAAAAAGACATCAAAATGACAGCACTAAACTCACACCTATCAATAATTACACTGAATGTAAATGGACTAAATGCACCAATAAGGAGACTGAGAGTGGCAGATTGGATAAAAAACACGATCTGTCTATGTGCTGCTAACAAGAGACACACCTTAGATTTAAAGACACAAACAAATTAAAACTCAAAGGATGGAAAAAAATATATCAAGCAGACAACATTCAAAAAGAGCAGGAGTGGCAATATTAATCTCTGACAAAATAGACTCTAAAGTAAAATCCACCACAAAGGATAAGGAAGGACACTATATAATGATTAAAGGGTCAATACACCAGGAGGACATAACTACAATGAATATGTATGCACCCAACAACAGGGCTCCAAAGTACATAAACTCTAACAGCACTGAAAAGAGAGACAGCTCCACAACAGTAGTAGGATACTTCAACACACCACTTTTGGTGAAGGACAGAACATCCAGAAAGAAGCTGAACAAAGAGACGGAACAGCTAAATGCTACAATCAGCCAACTTGATGTCATAGACATACACTGAACACTCCACCCAACAGCAGCCAAGTATACTTTCTTTTCCAATGCACATGGCACATACTCCAGTATAGAACACATATTAGGCCATAAAGCAAGCCTTAACAAAATCCAAAGCATCAAAATATTACAAACATCTTTTCTGACCATAAAGCCATAAAAGTAGAAATCAA